GGGGCATGTTGCTAGGAGAAGCATTCCTTGAAGAGGTACATTATTCTTAGAAAAGTTAGTGAAAGAGAGGAAGACTTAGCTACATGGAATGGCACGGTGACTGCAGCAGTGGAATCAAGTATGTCAGAAATAATGAGGATGACAGGATAGGACAGGGTTCAGATCTAAAGTTCATAGGATTGTGATTAGTCCTACTTGGCTTCATGGCACCTGACAACAACAACACTTATGCAGGATACAATAAAAATAAACCTTATAAGCATTATCCTAAGTGAACACTAGTTTACAAAAGACCACATATGACTCCATTTATATCAAGTGTACTGGTTATATGTTTTAGGTGGGTGAGTTGTATGGTATAAGCTATTTTAAATTGGTAGCAGAAAAATCTAAATTACCATATTCCACCTCCAGAGATTCTGATTCAGTAGGTTTAAAGTTCCAAAACTTAGAGCTGTTGAATCAATTTTCATTCACATTTATCTTATAGGGCAGAACAAAACTGCCACATAGGATTTCCAAGTTTTTTTAAATCTTTGCAGAAGTAGACTCATACAAAGCATCAGGTGGGTTTGAACTGCTCACCTTTTGTTAGAAAACAAGTGTTTTAACCTCTGTATCACTAGGGTTTCTTAGTGGTGTAGGATAGTCTAATAATTTGTCATTCTAACTAACAAATACCCAAGTTATACTGAAGTTAGTGGTACAGACTACATTTCAGAATCATTACTTTATATAACCAATGTAAATCTACTCAAAATATGGACAGAGTAAAGGTAAGCCAAGCAATGGCCAGGACCACAGCCAAAGTCAGGCCATAAAAATATTTTCTTGAACATAACCATTACTGGATGCTAAATGCCTAATTATTGTGTCACTGCTGTCAATTGAACTAGCCCAAAACACTACCTATTAAGTACCACTGTTACTCCTACCCCTAATAAATAATTTTTCTACGTTATTTTGTGCAACTTAAAGTATCTTAAAGTCTTGTTACATTTTTAGTTGTGTTTTAGATTAAAGTTGCATTATGCTTTTTAAAAAAGGGTTGGCATAGCTATACTATTTATACTTCAATGTATTTGTTTTCACTGAATTCATATATATTTTTGTTTGTTTTTAGATAATATTGAATGAACATTGTTTGGAGAGTAATTGCTTAATGTTTCTTTCTCCCCTTTCTACCCCTTTAGCTACTTTTCCAGGTATGTGGGAAAGAACAATAACCATAGGAAGTGCTGGAAAGACTTTCAGTGTAACTGGCTGGAAGGTAAAATGAAAAATAAATTTATTGCTTAAAAATTGCAATTATGCATTTTCTATCCCTTTAGTGTATTTTGTGCTTGAATGCATATACATTATGTTTACTATAATGCATATTCATTTGGCACAAGCTTTTCTAAATAGTAATCTTACTATTTTTTATTCAGCTTCAACTTTCACTTTTATTCTCTATGGAATCTTAGTCACTTTGTTCTCTTAACCTTATTATGAGATCAGTACCATTGTTATTCCTATTTTGCAGATGACAAAATAAAGCTTAGGGTGAGGTAACTTATTGAATATATTGAACAGGGCTCCAGAACTAGAACCTATATATAATAAATACAATATTATTGCTTTTTAATTTTTGAGTCATGTACTTTTAACTTGCTAGTTAAATTTGTGTCTTCCTAGGCTGCACACTTCCATGATACATCTTCAAGGATATGAACATGTACAAGCACAATCAATAACAGTGAATCTAAATTCCAAAATCAATCTCCATAATAGTCTATGTGTTTCCTACTGCCAAAGGGGCCCTTTAGAGTAGTGAGAGAAGATCTTCACCCTGAAACCTACAGCGTCCCTTTTCAGCAGGAAGTAGCTAAGAGAATACGCCATCCCCTTTTCCTTATGAATCAGGGTGAAGTCTCTCTCAGGGAGGAGAGATAGGGAATGGCAAAGGACACACTGACAAAGGAGATTAATCAGAACTGGCTTCGACAAGCAAGTGGCAATTGGACAATTAAAACAGACATTCGGGGGGGGAAGAAGAACGAACTGGGGAGGAGGGTAGAGAAAGTGCAACAATGAATGAATGAAGACCCAAAATCTCTGTAAATTTTCACTAAAACTAATAAAATTTAATAATAATTGAAAAAAAACAACACATGATCATGTAAATAGACTTATAAATCCTTTTTTCTGATTTTGTGAATGTGTTGTAAGCTGGAATAGATTTCATTTTTGTTCCTAAAACTAGAGAAATAATTTCCATTTGAAGAGTATGTTTTACAAGAATGTAACATAATTAGCCATAGAAGCAGATGAGTTAAAAAAAAAATTATCCAAGATAGAGAATTATATGGTAAAATTGAGATACAATAAAAGAGGTCACGAAGTAAAAAAAAAAAATAAATAAATAAAAAGGAAAATAAAGCCACAGTAATTCTCCCTAGCTCAATATCTTACACATATAGTTGAAGAGAAGGAGGAATTGAGTGATTTACTTTTTTTAAAAAATTTATTTGAGAAATTATAGAGGAGTGGCAAATTCAGGATCTGTAGGTAGAGTAGTAACCCATAGTGGGCAGTGTTCGGTGGAGCTTCAAGATTAAAATAAGCGTGGAAGCAGGAGTGGCATCCACTTCTGATATAGATTGCCTCCAGAAACTCTGTAAACTTGGAGAAAGGATGAAAGTTATACAAGTGTCCAGCTCTTTCGTGCATAGTGTCACTATGAATCATCTACAACTTGATGGCATTTATCAACAACAACAGGTCTAGTAAAAGGCTGGATCCTCTAGCAGGCTTTTGCATTCAAACTTCATAGGCCAGGCACTGGGAAGGGTGAGATGAGAGTTCTACCAAAACGTCGATTTATAATTTGGGAAGAAAACACACACTAAGGTCACATCTTTTTTTCTCCTAAGGTCTCCAACTATTTGATTAACTTACTACATTTTGGAGGCAATTATATTACATTAATTATAAGGTCATTACACCCAGAAAGTAATCTGTTTTATGTAAAACCATCTGATTTTGTTACACATGGGGAAACCTGAAAGTTTTGCACTTCAAGTCCTGTTAGAGAGTCCTCTTAGAAAAAAGACCTAGAGATCTATTTCTGAAAAGTCATAACCTTTGAAAACCGTAGGAACATAGTTCTGCTCTAACATGAATGGATTACCGTGAGTTAGGATTGACTTGATGAGAACTCTGGTGTTATTGTTTGTTTCATGTAACTGCTCATAACAATAACTAGACTATTGTTTGGCCAAGCTGGCATGTTAAATTATCTATCATACTTGAGGTAACACTGATGATAAATTCAGGCAGTACATGCAATCTGGCTCCAGAATCATGTGCTAACCCACTGTGATATTTATTATAATCAGAATATAGCCAATTGAAACTCATTTACCTATCAACTATCTGTGTTTGGAGCATACTTAAGGAGGAAACAGTCAAAAATTAAATATATAAAATTTTAAAAAGATATATTTTCATTATAGAAGTGTCCTTGATACTCTCGTTCAGAGTTCTATACACAATTCAAACAAGTTCTCTTAGTGGTCTTTACACATTCAGATTATCAGAAGTAGCAAATTAGAAGAGAGAAGATAATGATTGTAGATGCTGTTTACCTTCTGAAGGCAGAAATTTAGTGGAGATATTGTCCTAAAATAACAATGGTGAAATTATTTTCATTGCTAATACTGGAT